TGTTCTTTTTTTTAGGCTTGGGCCCAAGAAGGATTATATCATTATAATACGTGCGAAGCGATACATTTTAGATAGCAGAAGCCCAACAATTTTTATCAATTTTTCTCCTGGACTTTGAAGGTGGATGGTAATATGGAATGAGTTGAACTTAAGCTGGTAACAGGAAATGTTGAGCGAGTTTGGACTATAATTCTTAGAGCACGGAAGGGCAAGTGTTCGCATGTAACTGTGTAATGTAAGTCGTCTTGGGGTGAAATGTATTTTTAAAAATCTTTTTTAAAATTAATTTTAAAAAATTGGTATGGCAGACCCACTGCTCTTTTCAAAGGGGATGTTATAATTTCTCTGGTTGTTTTCATTGACTCCCTTCAATCCACATTTTCAGTGGCCCTCCTCTTCCTTTATAACCTGATCCGAGTGCTTGATGGTATAGGCGTGCGAGTCTTCTTGACTAGAAGATATCATTCATTCGTAACAACTCACTTTTCAAAGTCCAGGGGGGAAAAATTAGAAAAAAAGTGGTTGGAACACATGTTACGAATGAATGATATCTTCTAGTCAAAAAAGACGAATTCAGCCGACGGCCCATCCCTTAGACGCTTTGAGGCCTCTACGCCGCGTCTTCCCTGCTATCTAAGTGTTGGGCACAGTGTGCAGGTGACCTCATTTCGTTGGCAGTGGCAGTTGTAAAATCTGTAAATCGCCGTACTCAAGTTTTGCTCCGCTCAAAAGCAAGCACAAAATAATTTAAACACGTCACTGGTACGAAATAAACTTCAAAAAGACACTCTTTCTAAAAGAGTATTTTTGTTTTTACCTGCAGTGAATACAAGCTTTGTGATGCTTTGATAAACTTGTGTAAAAATCATCGGTGAATGTTACCCCGCCACGAGAAGGCCTACGTAGTGTGTTGTTTTGCCACTCAGTACTCAGTCAGCTCTTGGTGTTTGAAGAGATCGGTTGACGAAAAAAAGGTTGTTTTTTTTAAATGGAGGACGAGAAACTAATTGAAAAGGTCTTCAAGTTCATGTTTCTTTATGAAAAAACAGACTAGAAGCACGGCAATAAAGTCTATATTGCAAAGACTTGGGCAGACATTGCCGAGGAAACAAATTGCAGCGGTAATTAGGCTAAGCTACCAGCAGCCTTAAAAAACCCAGAAACAAATACTATATATTATCTTACACGAAATCTTTTTAACGCAAACCGAATAACCCCTTATAAAGTTATACTGAACCTTCTTATATTGGAATAGATGCTTGCGTGTGTGTGAACGTGCATGCGTGTGTGTGTGTGTGTGTGTGT